TGGTATTCATTGGTTTGACTGAAGTTTCAGTGTGAAGAAATAATTCTATTATCACAGAATGAATTAATTTAAGGAGGCTAGGATAGTGGCTTGTCAAACTGAGTTCAAGGGTGTTGCATCCCAAAAACTGGCAAGCACAAATACATAAGGAAAAAAAAAGACACTCGTATCAACATCCTAACAGAAATCAGAACTCTACAAACTTTGATCTTTTAAGTTATTTAGCATTAATTATCAAAAGCATACTTGCTATATATTCCAGATGCATAACATCTTGGCTTTGACAATTACAAAGTGTACTACAACACTGATACTGAAATCAGGGAATACAACAGAAAAAGCTTAGATGAACGAAGGACTGCGAATGCTCAGCAAGCCAGACAGTAATTTAAAACCCGTCCAGCCACTCTCTTTTGAAAGCAGAAACACTATTAGAGATACCTTTCTAAATAGGGACAATTAAATATATTAAGAGATGCCTGTGAACACTTAACTCATCTAAGGAGTTGATAATTTGGGGGCAAGAACACCTGATGGACACCCTGGGGTGATGTAGGCTATATGGGAGATATGGAAGTCTTCGGAGAGTTAAGCAGCTCGCACATGTTTTGCCAATCAACACACACTAACTTGGGAAGGCATGGTGGCATGTCCAGAACTCGTGGATGACCACTACACTTTAATACCACTTCTCACCAAATAATTTCTCAAACTGGCTAATATTACTGAGTATTCATACACTAAAGCTATCTTAAAGAAAGGAATTGCAGAAATAGAGCTTGGCAGAACATAAAAATAAAACAGAAATAAATATTTACTAAGTCAAGGGATGAACCACAAACAAACCATACAGTTAAATCAGTCTGTACATGAACACTATTTTAAACCCCTCTTCCTTAGGCCACCTCAGAAAGAGTATTACTCACAATAGGCAAAAAATAGTGTAAAGGTGTACAACTGGATTCCTTCCCAGAAGTATTCTGCCCTTTAATAGCTCCTGCTTGATGCAGCCTGCAGTTAAGCTGTGACTGTATCAGTTGCAAGAGGCAAATAAGAAGTAAAGTCACCGCGTAAGTCACACGAACACAGTTTTAAAGGCTTAACGTTAGCCTATGCATAGCTTCACACCAGCCATCCAGAGGCGGCAGCTTTGGAAGATATTGTCACATATCACCTGAAAACCAGACAGCGTTCCCAAACCAGTCACAAGCAGAACACAGAAAGTAAGAAAAACACCCAGAATTTCCCCATATCTCCAGCTTCCCAAATAATCTTGTTTAAAACTAGGCTATAATAAAATTTGTATCCTGGGCCAACTGTAGAGAAATGGAGAGAATTGAGCAAAAGTAACTTTTTGGTGATGCAAAAGATGCAACAGAATCCAAATGTCTGAAGTGTTGAATCAGGGAACTGAAAAAATAGGTAAGAACTTAACGCTGAGATCATTAACAGAAATGAGATAGCAATCAGAATTTTTTGTCACAGTTACAAAATTCTTAAGGATATCCTCAGCAGTTTAAACCAGTGTACTGCATCATCAGAGCAAGGGCCAAATCAATTTCTCCTTATGCGTGTAAAAGCCAGAGTATGTCTGCTGCCAGTGATATTCATATGCGTTTACACCAGTATGTTAAAGTCAAGTTCATTTAGCTCTGGCAAATTAAGGGGCCCCTAAAGCATGATGATGGCTTTTACAGAAAAACACTAACAGTGGAAATATTTTACAAAATTGGAGACAAAAAATTTTCAGAAATCCTACACGTAACTTGAACAATATGTTTTATGCAAAACAGACAAAAATTTATCTTTTAAATCAGAATATGCTGTAATTAAAATACTATATTCTGGAAAATCTATCCACAAACACAATTTTAAAAGGGAAAATTTCACTAACAATTTTTCAGAGGCATGAGAATGAGAGCTCTTTGTGAGGGCCAGAGACTCACATCAGAGATACTAAATTAGTATTTCTATTTAAATAGACAACCAAATCAAACTGGATCACACAAAACCAACTGAAAACCAAATCAAGTGTAATCCATTCTGAAGTCACCTCACTTCTGTTATTGTTAGATACTCCACATCAAAGCCTCTCTGACAGAATTTTCCTGAACAACCAAAATTAAATTTTTCCTCCCATCTCCTCTTCTTTTACCAAAGAAACCAAACCCACAAATGTTCATTCAGTTCATTGCTAATGATCTTGCACCATGATGACAACTAGTCAAAGCAAATACACTGGTTCTAAACTGATCTCTCTTATCTATGGAACTGTTTCAGTAAACAGGATCCAGAAGATCATATCGCTGTATCTGCATCAAGATGTTTGACAGCTCCATTTTGTTGCCCACCCTACCCCTACAGCTGGCAATGAGTAACCCTGACATACTACAGCACAGGCATTTGCAAGGCACATATTAAAATGCAATAATATAAATTGATGATAAAAATATTTGTCCTTTTTTTAGTACATTCAGAAATATTTTCTGGATTAAAAAGAAAGTAAACCAGCGTAAACTTGCACTTTATATGCACAAATAAACAGGCTGTTTCAGGTTTAACTATGAGTAGGAACCAAACAGAACAGTATCATGCACATCCAGAAGGGCTACAGCTATTCTTCCTCTTGAAAAACCGAATGCAGCTTGAACCTTCAGAGAAAACATGTTGCAGAGTGCAGCAGGGCATTATGTTTGTTTTAGATCTTCCATTGCTTCATTACTTCCACTTGGACAGCTGTGCAGCATCTTATATGTAAAGGCTCAGGTATATCATTATTTAAAAAACCCCTCTTCATGAAGGCCAATATTCCTTTACAGGTATGAATTCAGCAGAGGTTTATCAGACAGATCACACCAAGTAGTTTACAGAGCTCTGAAGTTCAAAACAAGATCATTTTTATAATTACTAATAACTTTTCTCTCTCTCTGAAAACTAGCGGCTCATCTTTTTAACAGAAAGTATATGGAAAATGTGATTTCCCCTTTCACAAATGGTTATACTATTAGTGTTATTTCAGTTAAGGACTAATACAACATTCCAGGTAAATGAAGTTGACCATTGGATAGAAAAAAAAAAAAAATCAGCTTAAAGCTCAAATTACCTTAACAAAACAGGTCATGAGTAAATTTAGACCAAGAAATGCCATCCTTTTCATTAGAAAAATATTTTCTTAAAATCTAAGGCAATGAATAAGACAATCATAGATAAGGATGTCTGTTCAGAGGATGAATAGAAGTGTTTTTAAACACAAATTGCCAAAATCTGGAATTTAGTAGTAAGAGATGGAATGTAAGACAGCAATAATGTGTATTTCCAATAAGACTATTCTTATTGAAACTTATTTGAAGAAATGAACAAAATTTTTTGAAGAAATATACCGGAGAGGAAATTGTATTTCAGACTTTTATTTAGAATCTGTTAATGAAGGTTTTTCACTTGAAGCCTCTCTTGCACGAATTGTCTTTAGATTATGTTGGCTCTTCAAATGCACCAATTAATAATCTGAGGGTATCTAGCTACTTCTAGGGTTCTGAAGAACTGTAAGAATGTATGAGACACTGCTGCTCTGAAAACTTCTCCAAAGGCCCTCAGCATGGCTTAAGTAGTTATTTTGCAAATTTTCATAATCCTCACAGGCACGTATCAGTGTAAGTGCATATTTTTATACAATGCTAGCTCCTAGAGACATGCTGAATTATTACTCTTCACATGGGCTATGTTCTTCAGGTGATAGGTGTTTGGATTTGGCATTAATTTTGAGTTAAATCTGTGCTTTTATACCAAGATGAAGTTTCACAGATGCCAAGCAGAGTTGCATTCACTGGGTTAACATCTATGACATTCAAACTGTCCTTAACAGTCATAAGAGCACCATAGGAATGGCAGATTCATTTTCTTTATAACAGGGTTACTGTGTTGAAAAAGCATGTGCTTATAAATAGCAGTTGTTACAGAACTCACTTCTAAAGCAGGCTTCTGCTTAATATTAATGAGATGTTCAACTGTGGCTTAACTGCTGACAAGTATTCAGAAAAGTAAGAGGCAGAAGCAATGACAGAATGAAGCCTTCCCTTGATTTGACAAACAAGATTACAACAAATAGCTTATGACAAATGGATATATGAAATTGTTCTGAGCCATTAACATTCTGCACAAGGCCCTGAAGTGCCAGGATGTATCAATTCAATGATCACTAAGGCACTTACTTGAACTCTTTTGCCCAAGAGCTGTTACATGAATTCAGGTACATTTTAGGAAAACAGAAGTTGAGCAGACTAAAGTTTCTCAATTCCTTCCCTGTGACAGCGAGTCATTTCCACGCAATATTCAAGACTACTAGGTGTATACACATTACATCAGTTCCTCCATAGTTCTTGACAAAAATGTCTCACCTCTGTCAGTCAGATGAGGATGTGCAAGATCAATGAAAAACACACAGAAAACATGGCGAAGCTGGAGTTTGAGACAAACTACTTCATTATTACATCTTCTGGAAAATACCTTCTTTGCAGAGGAAATGCTATCCCAGTTCCAAAATTCTACCACAGAAATCCATGATGGATGCTTGTATTGCTGTAGAGTAAAGCCTGGGGTAGCTGTGCATGCTATACAGGCAAAGGAGGAAGAGGGGAAAGAACAAGCCATACAAGGGTTGATTATTGATTCATTTCTGTTATAATGGAAGCACAGGGAGTTTGAACAGATTCCTCAAAGTATAGCGTACCCTGAAAACCAGGAGCTGTATGTGCTAGACTTTACAATCCGTAAGATAAAGTTGGAAGCCACATCACTGTGACAGAGGTAGGCTTATAATGAAGCTTTAGAACGAAGAGTTCTTCTGTGCCAAATTTTTCGAGGTATCGAGAGTGCTTTTCGACTCAATTTGTCATTATGGAACAAAAGCTTGTTTTCCTAGAATATTGTGCACATTTTAAAGTAGGGAAAATAGCTGTAAAGGCAGTAACTAAATTACCATTAAGAACTCTACTGTACTGCAGTGCCATATGCTGTGGGTAGAATACTCAGACTCTGTGGTAACAGGATGCTACAGAAAGTTCAGTAATATGATGCCATGTTGTCCTTTTCCTTCTCAAAGCTTTATCTGTACATTCAGTCTCCTATATGCTAGAGGATCCATTCAACTCACTCTCCTAGGAAAGAAAGCTTCAGGAAGTCTGGCTGGAAAGGTAGCACATAAGTAGTCCACACTCTTTAAGGCTACATAATTAATCTGAATAGCTTAATAACTTGGGTTATTCCAAGCACTGTGGCAACAAGCTCTTGCTTTTAAACAGTTGTTTCCAGGCTTGGTAGCTGAAGCAATTCGAGGCAATCCAGGATAGTGTCACTGAAGTTTGAAGGGACTCAAATGATGCCAGTTTTCAGTGAAATGGGGAGTAGTATTTCAGTAAGATTTCCATCTGGTAGCTCATGTTGGTTCTATCCCATTGATCTGTTGAATAATTAGGTTTCAGGTTTCAAAGTATTTGTAAATTGCTGTAACATACAGCATGACATTCTGCCAGTCTGGACGCTCAGTTCGCACCATTTCATTGATGTCCTGTCACAGAAAACAGATTGGTCAAAATCAGGAATGATAACTTTGTAAGTAATGTGGTCGTGTTTTTACAAATTCCTGGGAATGGTAAATCTGCAAAGTTTCCACAACATAAAGCATCGATGAAGAAAGCTCTGTTTTCTTCCATATATCTTTGTATTACTTACAAAATGTAAACAGCTATGAATAGCATACCTATAGACAGTTATTTTGTTGATTTAAGATTGAAATGTCTAATGCTGTACATGCTTGAGTTGTCCCCCACTTATTACAATTAGTAAACAGAAGTCAAGACTTTAGTGTTCACATACCCCTACACCAGCCTCGCAATTCAATACAATCTACCTAGGAACTGTGAGTCACAGAATCAAGGCCCAGATATTAATTGAAGCTAAAGTTCAAAATTCATATCAGGGTAAGAGTCAAGCACCAATAAAGAACCAAATCCCATTTTACAGTAGACTACTGAACTTTAGATTACTTTATACCTATTTTTGAGTAAAGAGGCAAGGAAGAGGGAAGTTTACTACCAATTTGGGTCTATCCAAGACACAAAGCGATCAGTTCGTGCCTAACTCATAGGCCAGTTCACACGTGTTTCGTAGTAACAGTATACCGGATTGGCAGTGAATAAGCAGGGTAAACAAAGCCTGATCTACCCTTTTCAGCACATGTACAAAGGAAAACAAAGTGATGTAGTTGCTAATAATTTCTCTTTACTGTAAGGGTCTATTTTGTAAACTTTGGGTCCAGGAACCTCCAGAACTCAAAAAAGACAAGGTAATTTTTAAATTTTCCACATGAAAATAGTTGAACACTTTCTTGTTCAGAGAACAAATAACTTCCCTTACATTACCACTATTTACATACAGTAGTTTTCACACCCTTTTTCACCCTCCACCCATGTAATATGGACAAGGAAAAAATCCACTAACATACACATCGTACACACTGCATATGTAGGTATGTAAATAAATACTAAATCCTTAAGAAGGATACAATTCACACTTAGAAGACTTCATTCCATTCAATTTGCCTTTTTATAGTATCTGTAATTAAGTATATTACAAAAAGAAAGGATAGATAGTAACCATTTAGACTAAAGCTGAATTATGTAATAATTACTGCAGCTATTTTTCACAATCTCGTTCTTACATCAGCACTCGGTAAGAAACTTCCATGTTTCAAAACACTGACAAAGTCGAAGTAGGAAAGCCCAACAGTTGCACTGCCATTGTCAGCAAATACAATGCTGGGGGCGGGGGTAAAAGTGCTGATAAGGACCAAGGAAAGTGTTATTTTTAAAAACGTCTGACTTTGTTGTATTATTAGTTGCTAACTATGGCAGCTTTGTTAGAATTTAGGCTACAGAAATATCACTTAAGTATCATTTCTGATACTGGCAATTCTAGCTGAATTTTTGTAACTATTCACAAGTGCTTGAGATACTCCCAATTCCATACCTTCAGAAATCTTCCTTTTCCAGTAAATACTATACTATTGAAAACTAATTTTTTAAGCTAAAACTTGTATTAAAAAGCTTATTATAAACAATAATTGAAAAAAAAACTTACAGCTATTTACAAAGATGATAAATTAAAAGTCTAAACTTAAGAGGTAAATCTTGACTCTCATATTACACTGAGCAAAAGAACAAATTACATAGCTTGATTTGTACCTCCAGAATTTCAAAAAACCTAAATAATTTGAAAGTAGGGCAGAGACAGGAGAAAATTAATGAATTCTTAAAGATTGTATCACGTAAGTGTTTCTCAAATTATTTTCAAACAAATCCACTGCCTCTATTATTATTTCTTATAATATTAAGAGATGAGTTTTGGTGAATCTTCCTTTTACAGTTTAAGAGTTTATCTGCTACAGGCTATCATGCTGTTGCCATCGCTGCAGCTGCTGGACTACAAATCTCTATCTCAGTCACTATTTAATGCAAAAAATATATAAGCTTAAGTTGTTGATGACAGTGGGTTTATTAAACAAAGCCACTGAGGTAGGAAGTATCTTTCATGTTTTTCAGTCAGGTATGATACAGGGGCAATAACCTCTAGCTGAACCCATCTGCTGCTATTTTTAAGTACAAAGCATCAAAATCTTTCAAAAGTACAAAATAGAATAATTTTATTTTTATAAATGGGTCATAATTCATTCAGTATGCATTTAAAACTTACCAGAGTAGATTTGATTCCAACACTTTCAGCTGCCTGAAAAGCCAAAGTGAAATTTCTTCTCTGCATGAGATATAAAAACATGTTAGAAATCAAAGAAATACTACTTCAAACATAATAAAGTGGTGTTAAGAATGCTTATAGTAATGCTGCTACTTTTGCTTGAAATGAGGTCTATAATTTGACCATAGTGATTTAAAAAGAGCCACAGGAATGAACATGTCCTAATATCATCCAAAAATTTATGGAAATTTTTTATTAATTCCTCATTCAAAGATAACGCTGAAAAATCATTGTCAGTGAAGAATGACTGAGTTATAAAATGCTACAGAATAGATTATTCTTTTAAAAGCATAAATAAAGACCAAAATCTATTCATGTGTTAATGAAATATTCTTATTTTTTTTTAGGATGTATTATCATTAATAATACATCTCTAGATAACACACTGGTAGGTATTAACTGTAGCACACTAGAATACATACAGATGAGTCTGTAGTCTTGAAATCTTCTAGTTTACCTTTATTTGATACATATAACTTGAGAAGAGTATCACAGTCACATATCAGCATGAGAAAGTAGGATGAAACAACATCCTTGTGATATTGAAAGAGATGAACAAAACATGTCAAGATACAAATTTGATGGATTTAAAATCTTTAAGCTTAAACACTCCTTGCTTCCAAAACCAGAAATGAGAACACTTCCCAACTGTTTGGGAATACAAATAAATACAATGCCTGAGTTAAATCTATGAACTTCTGTTATTTTTTTTTTCTTATATCTGTTCCAAAATTCTGTTTAACCCAATGATCTCATAATATTAAAAGGTTATAATAAGAATAGCAGCAAGGTAGTTTGAAGTGTTTCAATTATGATACCTAGTAATATTCGGTTTTTTAGAACTCAAATATGTTCATTCTTCTTAATTAACTCATATTAATGATATAGACTCACAGTCCCAGCAATGGGATTTTTAATGTCTTACCTTGTCCTGGCTGTTTAGCTCTTGATAGGGAATATGGGCTGGGAGGTAAGTATGGAGGACTGCACAGAAAGCCAAGCCATCATTCCAGCTACTGCTGAAGTTTGTTATGTCGATATTCTTGAATAGAAAAAAACCACAATATTATAATAAAATCTAACAAGTACTAGTTCTACCAATGCACCAATACTTGTGGGTTTTTTGTGTTGGTGGGTTTTTGTTTGTTTGTTGCATGGTGGTTGGATTTTTTTTTTTAATACCTTTGAAGAAATCAGCAGAGAAAGTGAACAGCCTAATACTAAAGTTCTGTGGTAAGAAACAAAAACGCAGTACTACAGAGAACAACAAAAAAATTTAGTGGTAAGAAAGTCAGTTATGTTATATATTAATTCCAAGTAGTATTAAGCTCCCCCTCCCCCAGAAAGTTTAAAAGGGTGAGTGTGGGGGGGGTGTGTGTGTGTGTTGAAAGGTGTAAAATGTTGGGCTAGACAGGGTAAGAGAATAGATTTGGTACAACTGTACATGCCAAGATAGAAAAGCAAATGAGTCAGACATGTATACCTAAAATCCCTGAAACAGACAACATGCTAGTATCTGTTAATGTAAGGTTTTACCTTTCTGCTTCTACTGCATTAATATCCAGACAAAATTTCTAATTGATAAGGACAAGTATTTTCTCTGCTACACAAACCATTTCTATACAAAAACTTATGAGAACAAGATCACAAACAAAAATTAAGTTTCATTTGGAAATAAAGATGTTTCAACAGATTTAACACTGACAGTGGCAGGGAATCATTATATTTGGGATTCAAACGGAAATTGAAAACTGCAGTCTTGCACTCTTGATCTTTTAGTGCCAGTAAGAAACCCAGGGGCACTGGTAAACACATCTCCTGAGACTGTGTATATCATTGTAAAAAGAGTCAGCCCAGTCCAAAAGAGTTATGAACAAGATGCCTCAGTGACCTTTTAAATTACTGTATACTGGGCTGTTAGCAGTCAAACAATGGTAAAGAGGCTAAGTGGATAGCAGTCAGTTTAAACTTTAATTAAGAAACAACCAGCAGCAACAACCCACAGTTTACCTTTTAGACCTCTATGGAGAAATACAAATATGCTTTAATATCTAACTCACTTAACTGGGCTTAAGCAGAAGCTAACCAGCTCCCCTACTTAGTTTTTAAAATTTTAATGTAGCAGGAACTATAATCTCCAGTCACAGATCTGCAGAAACACAATTACACAAGTCAACATTACACAATTACAAAAGTCATGTCCAGAAAAGACTGGACGTGGCACTTAGTGCCATGGTCTAGCTGACATGGTGGTGTTAGGGCAAAGGTTGGCCTCTGTGATCCCAGAGGTCTCTTCCAACCAAACCGATTCTGTGATTTTACATGACAGCAATTTAATAGTCATCACCTGTCTTTGACAAGACACTAAAACTTGTCATTCTTAATGCAGAATCAGTGTTACTGACTCTGCCATGTAGGCTGAGAACGAAGGCAGCTATATTTCTTGTCAAACCAATGATTTAGATTACAAACGGAAAACAACTGCAATCCCCTCCAACAGAGGAAAAAAACAAAACTAAAGGCAATTTCTAGAAGAATGTGAGGGAAATCTCCATTTCCTGCTCAGCTTTAGCACTTTTTATACAAAGTCCACCAAATGCAGGTTCAAACTCTGGTGACGTCAGCGTACGTGCTCAGGCTCACAATGCCCAAGGCACTGGTCTGAGCCTCGCCTGCCGTCCTGCTGCCTGCCTGCAAACGGAAATGTCATTGTTGGAGACCCCCAGTCTGTGGGAACATGTTCTTCACACAGCTTCCTCAAGCCACAGGGGTGGGAAAATTTAAAAGCAAAAGGAAAAAAAATAAAATAAAAATGAAGCTTTCCCTCCTTTCCCCTCAAGAGAGACAGGAAATTGGATTTAAATTAATGCTTAGTTAAAACTTTTTCAATGTTACTTAAATTAGGCAAACAAATGCAACACACAGTACAAGGCTTTAAGGAAAAAAGGGAAAAAATATCAGATTGCTAAAGCCAATAAATTCCTACTTGTGTCTGTTTACAAAATTACTTTTTGAAAAGTTCTTTCCCCCTACCCTGTAACCAGTAACGCCTCGGATCACATCTGTATCAACAAGATGGATAAAGGTAAGGAGAGGGGCTTTTTCTTGTCACAGTCATCTGTGGCAAGCTGGTTATAAAAATGAAGTGTGAATGATCATATTTCCTTTGCTACACAATCTACTGAGGGAGAAAAACGCAGTCCTGGTTTTCACCCCCTGGCTGAAATGTTCTCCCTCCTTCCCCAGGATGGCCAAGTGATGTGGGAAGGGGAGGAGAAAGATGTACATTGGCATTGTCACAGATCTGCTCAGACATACATGCATGCATTGAGCCAAACTATTAAAAAAAAAATAAAATCATACTAGTTAAAGCTACTGAAGAGTGTTAGCAAATTTTTAAGTCTCATGACTACAAAGATAGATATGACATTCCTTATTAAAGTAAGGAGGAATGCTGAAGCACTGCTGAATCTGATTAACGGTTTCTAACACCCCAATTTGCAATCTAGTGACTTAATGCTGTATATAGTTCTAAAAAGTACCTGTTGAATTGGTATTACTGCAGAATATACTCTATTTACCATAGACCAGGAGTCCATTAGAGCCAGTCACCAGTCACTGTACAAATAAAGTAAAGTTCAATAGTACCTTGTCTCACAGAGCTTACAATGTCTATTTTCTCTTCCAGGTTGCTTCGTACATTTCAGAGGAAGCACAGCAATATTTATTTGAAAATTTAAGAGTTTGAGTCTAAACACCAGCATCACTGAAGCACAGATGAGATCTCAGTACTGAAAGAGGGATGGAAGGGTACACAGCCTTCACAGCGAGAACAATAGCTTATATTGGAAATGAGGGAGCACAGAGAAAGGAGAAGCAATGCAATACTGTTACAGCAATGAGCTGGAATAGTGATCTTTGCAACAGTCAGGATGGACATCAACAGGCATGAACACACGCATCAAAATTAGAAAATAGGATGCCGCAGTGATGTGTATGAGATCATCAGAACCTACACCTGAGGTTTGACCCTGTGGATGAAGAAGGAAGACTTGTGCTCAGAATATAGGAAGAAAGAAATTGCAAGGTACCAAAACAGTCTGGATGCACCAGAAAACAGACCTATAGAACAACTGGAGCTGAAGACAGAACTCCTCACATGATTTAAAAACCAGGAGGAGTGCTCATGTCCAAAATCTAGAGACATTTTTCATAGTTTTATAAGTATATTCCCTCACCCCAACATATGAGCAAGAAAACCAGGATAAAGTCGTGTTGAAAATGATAAATGAAACTGAAACAAGAGAAATTCATCTTCCCTTAAACTTTATAGTTGTATAAACTAAAAATTTCACTTTAAATATTAGTAGCATCCATAGAATGATGAATTTTGAATATAAACATTGGAACAAAGGGCCACTTAAAAAAAAAGTTCACCTACAAGTTTTGTTGGTTCTCAAAAAGAACTTGGAATACCCTATTTTTCTAAATCTTCTTGTAGAGTCCAGCTTTTATTATTAAGACAACAAGCAGAAAACAAACCCATCATCTAAGAATCTTAATGTATCCAGAGAAGCCGAGTTAAATACAACGGAAGGAAACAATTAAAAGGGACTGGTTTCTGTTTCCAATTGCTCTGAGCATTATGAATTATTATTACCTCTCAGACTAAAAATGTACAATATTGCTCAGACACTAAAAAACAAATCTAGAAACTGGACAGATTGTCCTTTAAACTGAAAATTTAATTTTTAATGTAGGGCTTTGAGCACATGACTGGCACATTTAAATACTGCACAATTTTATTTCCCAAATGCTTTTAACTACTTGTGGTTTTTTGAAAAAACTTGGTCAGTATAATGAAATCAATCTTGCATTAAGCTCTTATTTCTCAAAGAATTGACGGTAAACAGAACATCAGCCTAAAATCTCTGACATAATTTCTTCTTTGTTACTGCTCTTATTAAGTAATTGGCTCTATTAAGAGAATTTTGCTGGAATCTAATCTGGAATTTTTCTTCAAGCCATTTCAAACCACAAAGTATTAAAGCAAATAAGGACATACTTTCAGATAAATTGTCAAATGAGGAATAAGCCTTTCTAGAGATAGGTGAACTAGAAGGAGATTTATCAGTCCTTGTCTATTAATGTTTAATACTTAGGATGGAAGTGAAGTCACCTCTATTATTTGGGAGAGATTTTTTTTAAAAGAAGGCAACTCTAACAAAAGGAGTTAAGCAACAGGCTGCTGTTGTAAAAAAGATCTCTGGAAGACACTTTCCAACGAGAAAAAACAGAGTTAAAAATTTGTAAGACTTTTCCAGAGACAGAGCACAAGAATATAACATTTTACATAATCAGACAGACCAAATTCTATAGTCCATTCTACAGCCACGACAAAGAGGGGAAAAAACGATAGTAGGGGAACACCCTGGTGGATCCACAACCAAAACCCATTTCAAGCATGACTCAAGCTCCTATTAAACTGCAAAGTGTAGAGTAGGAGCAGTCACCACAAAATAATTATTCCCTTGCACTCACATAGAAAAAAAAGAGTAAGAAGATTTTTCCTGAAACAAGGTTGAAATATAACAGGAACAAAACAATCCATCCGCTTAGGGTGAAATACAATAGCGGTTAAACAGTAAGTGAACTGGAATTGAACATGAATCAGAAGTGCACCCTTGCAGTAAAGAAGGCCAACTGTACCCTGAGCTGTATCACCAAGAATCGCCAGCAGATTGAGGGATGGGATTCTTAGACCCTACTGGGCCCTTGTCAGTCTGTGCCTGGAATACTGTATAGAGCTTTGGTCCTCCCAGTTCAAAATAGTCATTGAAGAATAAAAATGGGTCCAGCAGAGAGTTACCAAGATGATTAGATGGTTAGAGAATTTGACAGGTGAAGAAAGGCTGAAGGAATTTGGTTTATTCAGCCTAAAGAAAATTCAGGAGAGATGTAATCAGAGTCTTCCCATGCCTAAAAGGCAGTTATACAGAAGATGGAAGTACTTTCTTCACAAGGACACATGGTGACAGGGCA